AGATAGCTGAGTGTGTTAGCTATCCCTTACCCTGGATAAAGCACTGGTTTATCATGTCACCATGTCTGTCTCACCATATTTAATTCCCCTTTATTGCACATGATCCTATATGTGGTCTGCAACGAAAATTCATGCTCCCCTGGCGCTCATTTTTCAAATATTGATGAGGTTAGCAACTACGGATCGCACTAGCGAACCAAGAGGTCAACCTCAGGATATCAGTTTTTTTTAGACCAGAGTCCGATACAACTAAGCAGAGAATGACTATGTTTTGAAAAAACCTGCAACGGGATTTTCGAGACCGGGTTAGCCATTTAGCTGAAACTGGGTTACTATTTCTGGCTTTTCTGTATCACGGAAGCCTTTACTTACCACTTTGTATGAAAGCTGGTTACATCAATACACGAGAATTACTATCTAACTGATCAAATTCTTAGGATTTGACGCGCCCGGTACGATTCCTATAAAAGACTCACAATTATTAGAAATTAGACAGAGCTCTTTTATTCATATGTAGACTAAAAGGGTTTTGACGGGTGACTCGACTGATTCCAAGATGAATCTCCCGTTTCTGGTACTCCTCAGCTGAACGTACTGCACAAAGGCCGTCGCATGTTTCATTTTGGGGTGATGATATTCGAGATGCCAGGGTATATCGCCTTGGCGGGACATTACTAATCATGTGCTAAGCCTGACGATTTGTTCTTCTTGAGACAACAGTTTCAGCTGGAATGGGATTGAGTCTCTGGTTAAAACCCAATTAGGTTACAAAACGGTGTAATTCGCGAAATGAATATGATTCAGTTTGGAGAAGAACATGGGGTTGGTGGAAACCCAGAGAATGCACCTACGGGCAAGATGGCTCAGTGGTTGGAGCGCGAAGTTCCTGACCGGATGGTCCGTGGTTCGAACCTGACCTGTCTAGGCTTGGACAACCTGATAGTATCCCAGCCCTCGTACTTCCTTCAGCAATCATGGCAACTAGACACCGGGAGGGTGTTACAGCTGAGCGACCTACGTGACCAGTCTCAAGAGGAACGAAAGCTGTCCTGGGATGTCAAAGAATTCTCAGCATTCTTATGAGTGGCGCGTTCCATCAAGGAAGTTTCTCCTACCTTCATAGGGAACCGTTACCCAGATAAATCTCAAATGTGATCGAAAGCGATCTCTCTGATTAAATAATTCCCTGATCAGGTGGTTAGTTGGGGGAAAACTGCATTCTTTTGGGCAGCGCAGGGTAATGGCTCAAAGTTCACTTACAAAAGACCCCGGTTTTGCTCTGGTAGACATAATGAGTAGTTTTTCATCAATCTAATTTCTTCTATGTTCCACCAGCTACGAGAAGCTAACGTGGGTGAGCGCTGTTTCACCTTCTAGATGCTTATCTACGCAAAATGTATTCATTTTCGCCGAAAAATGGAAGATTTTGGACCAAAAAGTCCATGCAAAAAAGGATAACACAATGAAGAGGAATATGTGAAAACAAATCCTTGGGTTTGTACATTCCGAAGTGGAGCTTTAACTCTACAGTTGAAGTCTGGCCACAAGAAGCCGTATTATCACCAGTAGTATCACATTCTAGTGACACCTCACTACGAGAGTATGAGCAGACAGCGGACATTTATTCGACGCAACATCGAGTGAAAAGGCGAATAACAATACTGTGGAGATACTGACAACTGCATGAACCAGTGGTTTCTTCCCTTTCTCACTCTTTGTTCACCGAGCGACTGTGGAAAGAGAAAAAATACCGATTTGTCAGGGATAAAACTCCTTGTATGTGAAATGAAAACTGATTCCCCAATTGTTTTCTCTTCTGACAGTCTGCTGCGTTATAAATTGATAATCCAATAGTTTTGGAGCCTAACCTTTGTTCGCCCTAATTTCTCATCAAGTTTCAATTTTTGCCTAGCCACATCCAATCTGTATTATAGTAATCACAACGGGCAACCAAACTAGACCGGAAAATAACTAAACGTTACAGACAAGCGCGACGATTGAAAAATGCTCGCAAGTTCCACTTCATAGATCGGTTTCTCGACGCCCTTACAAAACATCTGCCGTGTTCGCGCTTAGTTTACCGCTGATTAGCCTTTTTCACCGAGGCGGATCAAGTGCCCTAGTTATCAGACATTTCACGGCCTACGGTTACTACGGTTGTAGCTTACTTCCAGTACAATCCACGCCCATTCTAGGTGGAGATTGTGAGGCCGAGTTTTATTAAGTAGATCAAGTGGATTCCAGAAAACAAGTAACGTACAACCAGGTCCAAATTCAAGGTCACATCGGGAAGCCCAAGGAAAAAACCAAACACGTTATTTAACGTTGGAAAATAAGACCACGACATATGTGAACAGATCTGCCAGCATGCCGAATTGTCCGTAAGTAAATTTGCAAATTTTGTCTCTCATCTACATGAATCGTGAAATTCCCTGTAGATCCTTTTAATGGTTTTGGAGATACTTTCTTTCGAACGTCGACTTTATCAGACAACATAAGGGTTACTTTCGGACGTACCCGCATTTGTGAAAGATGCATGTGCAAGTTAGAACGACACCGAGTGTTTTGCAGGAAAAAAGGTGATACCATAAGGTTCTGGTTTGAAGTTTGGATTGAGCAGTGGACCTATTGAAAGATTTTGACCCGATTTATATGATTTGCTGGATTAGGTGAGAGGGAAGCGACGCCTTCAATGAGAAAAATTCGCCTGCACTTTCAATGTCCTTAAATAACTGAGCCGAAACCTATTATTCAGTTTATTTTTGGAAGAGACTACTCTTTTGAGAAGCTTTCTGATATAGCTCCGAGTTGAACCATTAACTTAGATGCCTATCATAGCTGTTCACAATAAGCTTGGCCTCCAGTATTTTATCCAGTTTAAAAAGAATCTCTTCAACCGATCGATACATTAGTGGTGGTGAGCATGGTTTCCGAGGAGAGGGACGTTACTTTTATCTGCATTAAAGCAAGCACTGTTCTCAGGAGAACAAGTTTTCAGTCACATTCTGTAGCCGACTGAAGCGTAGTAACTCGAATGAGTATAGAAGGCGTTTTGAAGTGGCATTCGAAGGATATGCTTATGCCATCATCCGTACTAAGCATCCATGTCACAGCTTGCACGGATATATGACGAGTTGTGGCGTGTCTTGTACCATTTCAGTGCCATACACACAGTTTGAACGCTTCATTAGCCCGCTGCGGTCATGTGCAGGCACTTTTGGGATATCGCCACACCCATCTTTCTGTCAGTTCATCACGTCCCGGATGAAAACGCTAAACATGGACTATTCTGGTCAAGAAGACCACCCTTATGCAGTGTGTGAAACTGGATCCTGGTAGGTGAGGGAAATAAGATACATACTTGGACAGCTTCGCGGAAACCTGGATTTGTGAGTAACCGAACAGTTCAGTAAAACGTGACGGTATTCTGCTTGCTACTGCTGGCCCGCCGGTTGGAAACTACAGCCAAAAGCTTTGTGCTCCTTAGAAAATAAAAAAAAATCTCACAACTGTAACACTCTTCCTGTGCCTAACTGCCATGCTACCCGAAGGTTGCACGGGGGCTGGGATACTGCCAGGTTGCCCAAGCCTAGAGAGGGGAAGTCGGGAGGCTGAGGTCGGGTTCGAACCACGGACCTTCCGGTCAGGAAATTCGCGTTCTGACCACCTGAGCCATCTCTCTGCTTAGAACAGGTGAGCAAGAAGAGTATCCTCATTTGGGTCTTCGCTTATCTACCAAGCTGATAAAGCAGTTCCTCCACAAAATTATCCTCTCAGCTGACATTATCCGAAGGACATCAACCCGTCTGATTTCTACCTATGAGAGATAGAAAAATATCACTCAAAGACTGGGCTAGATTCACTTTTTACGAAGGTCATGCCTCAACAATGAAATATCTACTTGTTCCCGGCTAGTACGGTCCTAGAGACAGAACGGACAAAGGCTCGATGCGCAATTAAAGGTGCGTTCAAAAAACTAACGGTAAATCTGTGAATCGATACCAGGTCGATCGATACTGAGCCAAAGGTTCAATCTAGTTGGAATAAGTTATCCTATTATACTCTACGCATGTTTAGTCCATCCACTGATAAATGAGCTACATTTGCTTTTGTCTAATTCTGCTCTTCATCGTTCAAGTTCAGGACTTTATAGAGCAAACCTCAAAATGTTTCCGTCGAGTCATCCGTCTCCCTTGCAGTTAGAATATGTGCAGTACAACGGGAAAAACCCTTGTACTTTGTATTTATCGACGTCTGTCTGGTGGGGTCCATTCGGTGAGGTTCCGAAAAAAAACGGAAAGCGATCGATCATCTCTGTGTATAAAAAATGTATTTCCTAGTACAATACAAACTACTAAATAGATTATAAAACCTTACGAAACCTCATTTTCACCTTATTTTAGCCAGGTTTTTTCAGAGATGCAACTGAAGTGAGTTAAGAAGGCCTCCGGTATCGTTTTCGCCAGTAACACGAGTGCTGTGTAAGCCCAAAAAAACGGAATTCACTTGCTTCATCATATACTTGAACATAAAAGCTTGACATCTTAGCCACTTCCTGATCCTGCTGTTTGTGTGACCTGGTTCCGGTCCCAGTTGCTGAGAAAACGTGTCCACAGCTTTAACCCACTGCAAAGTTGGTGTATCAAAGAATAAACTCATTCAGCCTAACTTCGTGCACAGACCATAAATCTATCGCCCCTTTCCACAGTCTATCGCCATCGCCTGCTGGTTGTTTGAACATCGTGCGGAAGTTTATGAAAGTTTGACAGAGAGACAAGAATAAGTGTTTTTTTACTATCGGTCGATCGGAGCCCAATGAACTGTTTGTGTGAGATTGCAGGTGTGTGCATGTATCGCAATACCTGCCCACAGCAACAGATCTTGAAGCTGCACTTTGGATAGGCCACCATGTACGACCTTGACTGTACATCCGTATAAAACCTACTTGACACGATATCGTCACCTCACCTTCACTTACCACACCGGACCTCTGGTTAGACATGACACAGTTTTTGGGGACCTGGAAATTGAAGGATTCTCGGAATTTCGATGCAATCCTTCAGAAGCTCGGTACAATAGTTGTTTTCTACCCAACTAACCGCTTCAAATGATCAGGTGTTAATGTTGTGAAGAGAAAGCTGATTACAAGCAGCAAACCGGAAGTCACCTACACCATAGACGGTAACAAAATGACCATTAGGACATGCTCAGCACTTAAGACAACCACAATCACTTTCGAGTTTGGCAAAGAGTTTGAGGAGAGGACAGCTGATGACCGAACAGTAATGGTGAGTCGGCTTTGTTTGCATTCGACTTGTTGTAAAAGGTCCACGTTTTCTTTCGTCGTTTTATATAATCAAATTGAAGCTGGTTCCGTACCTCGTCTGTCACGCAAACCAGACTCCTAGTCTCCGGACATGTTTGCACATCCAAGAAGACCTGCTGAGATCAACAAGTATTTCTCATTATGTTGTTCTTTGCATCCAACATATAGGAGCGAGATGGCGAATTTACTGACCGGAAGGTCCGTGGTTCGAATCCGACCTCAGCCTCTCGACTTCTCCTGTCTAGGCTTGGGCAACCTGATAGTATCCAAGCCCTCATGCTCCTTTGGGTGGCATGGCAGCTAAGCGATGAAAGGGTGTTACAGGTGGGCGATTATCTTTTATCTTATCCAACATATACACAAATAATCATAAAAGTTCGGGTAGATAAAAGAGCATTTCAGAAGTTGGAGTAGATGGCGGGTTGGTTGTGATGTAACTGTGGTCTCGGGTCACTGAAGTTAATTGACTGGCTTCAAAACTTCCCTGTATCAACCGGATCGGAAGGACCATTCGGTGTCATTTGCAAGAAACTCAGGTCTTTCTATGGCTGAGTTGGACGCTCTGCTTCTGGTTTAGGACCCACCTCGCAGATCGTCTTTGCACCATTTACTTTATCGTACTGAACTGCTAGTTATTTGCACAACCGCTTTGTCAACGAGGCAGGTTTCCATATAACTACTTCGCTGCCTGGTCAAAGCAGCAAACCCCACGTGGACGGAAAGGTCCACAGATACGCTTTGAGATGGTATCTATATCTCACTTGTTTACCAAGCATGGCATGTCTGATTAAACTTAGATGCATGATGCTGTCGAACATACTGGTAAGTCTGTTTACAAGTAGCATACTTACGCCTTATGACGATGTCAAATGTATGGTATTTATCGTGAACATAAACTGAGGCTGTAAAAGCAGAATTCCACGAACGCGTTTTAACATTCTGAGTGTCAAGCAGGGGCTCAAGCTTTTCCATAAGATCCGGATTAAATTTGACCAAGGTTGCCTGGTTTTCGTAAAGTTTACCCGAGAAATACATAACTGCCAGTGTGACTGTAGTTTCTAATGGGCGAAGTTCCAAGAGTTCAAATTTATCGGCCAAATGTATATGCTGAAGTTATCTAATGATCTGAAAGCTACTCTTGCCTGTTCGAGAGAAGCACACAGTACAACAAAAGCCTATAATTTTTACCAACTTCGAGAACAATTCCCACCGACTGGAGCAGATGAATTTCAATTCACAAACTTATTCCATTATATTTCCCCCCCTTAAAGACACAAGATCTCAAGGAGTAAACGGGGGACAGTTCATGGTCCCCAAACTCTCTGGTTTTGTCCTCAAAGAGGGGATGACATCGCGATAGAAAGGCCTAGGGAGGATGGATCAAGTTTATCAGTTGGCTATCATTTTCACTGCATGCTGTCGTAAGTTGACAGCTTCCATGTCATGGGACCCCTGCTGACTGCCCTTAACTTGATTAGGTCATTATCTTAGTCTTGAATACTCCGATTTATTGACAAATGTCATGGCTGTAATAATGACTGAAGCATAGGATGAAGCAAAGCACCATCTTCCAAGGATAATCAAGTTCTCAGTAATTGTCATTGCTTGCTTTGCAAGGACTATCTTGTTCCAGGGTACTTTTTCCTAAACAGCTAGATGTAAAATCAAGCTGACCAGGATGGTTTGAAGTGGTGGCCATATACGGAGTTGCCATGAATCAGTCATGGAAATAAACAAGTGATGAACATTTGAAAGTTTCACATCAAACGAAGTGAAATATTTTATCTCACCCTCTCGAAAGTCATTTGGCACGCTCCACTAACCCACTGCACTAGGCGTGCGATTACGTTCTTTTTCGTGACCCCTGATGACGAGTTAAACATTGCGATCTCCGGTAAGAAAAATCGCAGTGTTGAAAAATCACTCTCCCAACTTCTGCTACTACCAAGTCTCACAACTTTTTGAAACCATTCTCGTCCGACAAAGGCCGTCAACACTGTAGGATCCAGTTGGGTCGGTCGTTTTTGTTCTTTGTTTATTACAGTCACAGTGCTGACGGATGTGCGAAATGATATTATATGTGTAGGAACTCGATCGCCATGTATTGGCATTCATCCCTCCACGGTTACTATTGGAAATATGTGTATAACAGACTGTGCACTCAACCAACATCAAGATTGTAGCCAAAACGATCTTGCGCAAAATGTGCTATTGACAGAGGCTTCCTCCTTATGACGAAACCATCCTTCTGTGATTAAGTGATACTTCACCTATCTGGAAGTTTTCATCTATCGCGCTTAATCCCATGATGTTACTGATTTCTCGTAAACTCGCTCCGGCCTAGGTACCAACATTGAACTGACTAGAATTTATGGATCATTACTATGACCGTAGTGTTTGGCTCTCTATCCATCTTTCGTAAGGTAGGATGTTTGCGGCGGACTGAGGACAACAATTCCAGTTTTTGTGATCTTAGAATTTCAGGCCATGATACTGTGGCCTAATGACGCACAAGAATGAGAAAGTGCTAATTAAACAGAAAATTTTAGCCAAATGTACCGCCAATTTTGGCAATTTCGTACGTCCAGAGTACTCAAAACAAGTATGGATTTCAAACGTGCTTGGCGTTCAACCTCCATGTTGCAGCGGAATTTTGCTAAGACTCAATAGGATTCAATAGTGTTCTCAAAGTAAATCTGGTGACAACCAGTGGGAACCAATACATCGTGATGATGACAGAACACATGTCGCGATGGATTGAGGCGGCAGCCGTGCCGAACCAGCGGGCGGCGACGATCAGCGGAGTGGTAATGTATCACATCGTGGCCAATCATGGGTTGCCAAAAATGATCCTAACAGATCAGGGTTCTTGCTTCGGGAGCGAAGAGTTTCGTAATTGCTTGCAGAAGCTGGGTATCAGACGGCTAAGGACGGCACCATACCACCCGCAAACAAATGGCCTGACCGAACGTAATGACCGAACGATTAAGGAGTGGCTTGCGGCCAAAGGAGGTGACTGGGAAATGAACTTGCCGTGTTGTTAGCTCATCGTGCTTCCACGCAGTCAACCACAGGCAGGTCCCCGTTTATGTTAATGTACGGTCGACATCCGCGCCTTCCGGTTGATCATGAAATTGGGGTGTGGCCTGTAACACGCTTGTCTCCGGGGGAGCAGTGGAATCAACCTCAAAACTCAGCTGCAGGTTCAGAAGCAAGGAGAAATTGAAGGCATCTCACTATTTTTTCTTAATAGGTCTTGTAAAGGAGAGCAGTCGCTCTTGTCCAGTTCAGTGGGGCGTCACTAGTTCCCAAGGAAATTCCAGTGGTTAACAGTCGAATGTCGTTAGATTTTGTTAGACTTTTAAACTGCGCTTTTTTTTCTTGCGACGAAACTTATGAAGTCTTTGATTCCATGGAACTTTTGGTCTTGGTGCTAGGTTGGACTTGACGTGAGTAAAAATAAGCAACTTTGAAGTCGAGCAAAGTTTAAGGAGGGACTGCTTTTCACTTGCTACCTACTCTGTCTTTCTCTCCCGATTTGAGTAAATCATATCCGCCATGAAGCATATTCCGCCTCAGGGGAAATTCACGTCATAAAGAGCACCGCATACATGATCACCCCAAGACTGGAAACACTCGTAAACTTGGGTCGCGCTGAGCGTAACGAGGGGTTGGTTGCATTTTCTCCAAGTCGTACAATCGTCCAGCTAAATGTCTAGCGGAACGCGAGCTGCCACCTGTTTTTCTACCACAAATTTCTGGCAGAGGGACCAAAATTCACTGGATACACTAATAAAGTCGATGAAAACTTGTTCACATTCCCCACTATGTTTCCTAATTTTTTTCAGCAAGTTTTAGTTCTGGAATCCTTTTAGCCACCTGAAATCGCCAGAATCACAATAAAAGTAACCGCGTCTTGCTTTCCAATAATCTATCTGCATTTTGTGTCCAAAGTTCCCAGCTTACCTAAGTAAACTTAAAATTTCGGTTACGTTCATTTCTTTTATTTAGTGCACTGATAGTAGCCAAGTTCCTGATCAATACTTGTTAATCCTGTGAGACATATCTAATCATATTTTTTTCTGTTTTCCAGTCTACATTTACGAAACAATCGGAGAGCAAAATTACGCAAGTCCAGAAACATCCGAATTCCGTTACCACCACTGTACGAGAAGTATCAGGCAACACCTTGACAGCGGTGAGTCTGTTTGCCTTGATCACTAAGTGTTGCTTCAAGGACACGCAAAGCTCGGATCACCTGAGTCTGCTGTTGTGTGTCTCTGGAACTGTACTTTCGTAAACATCTGTCTCCCGACCAACCGCAAACAAGTATAGATGAGTAAAGTAGAATGGGGCATCAATGAAACCAAGTGCGAGTTATTCAAGCTGTTGACCAGCCGCTCGTCACTGAACGGTGAGGTGTTCAAACCACTAACCAGAAGTTCGCGGGTTCACAACTCCGTAGAGTTTCGTTAAATGCACACTGCTGGTGGTCCCTAAGAGAGATGAAACTGATATAAGGTGGTTCTCCGCTTTTCATCATGTACTGGCGTCACTTAAAGGACGAAATCTCATTTTAGAAATAATGAAAAACAATACGTTTCCAAGGAGCAGGTTGATTGAGAATTACTTCGTATGAATCAGTTAGGTGAAAACCTATGATAACCTGTAAGTCTGTTCCTAAGAAAAAAATGAGATTTTTCTAGTGCCCACAGAATTCAGACTATGGCCACTGAGGCAGTTCCCAGTAGCATAGAGAACTTTGGTAGGAAAAAAGCTTAAAGACGCCTAAATCCCTTACAGTAAAGTCGGTTTTCAAAACCAACACTTAGTGATTTGTGTTCAAACCATAGTTTACTTGGAAAGAAGACATTCAGGCTAACAAAATCTGATATTTTTGTATCATCTTATAGTCAGGTTGAAATTATTGCTTCTATGAATCCCTTTTTTTATTGTTTTCAGACTGTGACGGTCGATGACGTGAAAGCGGTGAACGTCTACGAAAAACATTAGAGCTCTTTCCCGTTCCAAAACACTGTACCCATCCACTATGGCCTTGACAGTATCCGTATGCTTATCTTTTCTATGTTGTATGATTTAAACGTTTAAAGGCATTCAGCACAGGAATTTGTTCTGGTTCCATAACAAACAGCTTCAGTTCAACAACAAACTGCTCATGCTAACCTTCAACATACAGTCTACCGGGCGGTTTAGATTAGTTTCGAATGTTAAACAGAACTAATCAATCATCCAGACATGTTTGATGAGAGACAACCAAGTGTTTTCCATTGATTTTATCGATTTTAAGTAATCGAACTATTACGACGGCCCAGGGGCTGCTGTCGCCGTGTTCACGTCATTCTGCCAAAATAATCAGAACGCAACATGCGGGTAAAATGGTGTTTCAAGTTTCGGACAAAAATGTATGGATTTTTTCACTTAATCGATCAGTCGATTAACACTCACCCGATCCTTCATGAGGTCTAACTGCGGTTGACCTGAGCTATCCTACCGTTGATGCAATACCAGACTGAATGGCGGAATTTTTGTGAGGAATCTCTGTCAAATCTCTGGGTGATTATTTTAACGGTAATATGAGATAGTAAAATCCTGCACCGAAAGCAAATCGCCTGACAAAATGAGAACGAGCTTTGGGGCGATATATTGCAATGAATTTCTATTATATCCCTCCCCCCGTTCTGCTTGTGGAAATTTGCCGTTCTTTTAATTCTGACGGCTGACACAGTTGTACTAAATTCATGACTTTCAGGTGATCGTCTCCGAAGACGTATTGATCAGCATAAATTTCAACCAAAAAGTGTTCATTTGTCTAATGTCATTCACCTGCATGATGCACGTTAGTGCCAGTCTTTTTGTGGCATGAGTACCTGTGCGCTAGATGAGATGACACAGTTCACTTCTGTTTGGCGCACAGGGCTTTCGTCACTTTGTGATTGGCGACTGGGGCATTGTAGTGGTTGATTATGTAACGAGATTGAAAGATACTCTCTTCGCTAGTGGACAACTGTAGAAACCCCAAAAAGGGAAACAACTAGGGACAGTTTACGAAGCACATGGTTTTCAATGAGAGACAGTGGTGGAAATTTAACGTGAAAGTGTAAAACACAAGCCGCCACTTGCAGACGATCGACAGATAGGTTCCCACATGTTCTTTTGCACTGAACTATTATTTTCGCGGTTTTGTAAGTATCACGTGCTCCACACAAGAAGGCTCATGAACGGGGATCTCTTGTGAAAGAGACTAGATATATGGGGTATTCTCTACGTCTCTCCCAGCCACTAGATAACGAAGAGTCCCGTTTAATAGGATGTCTTCAGCCGAAGACGCTGGGGTGTGATAAAATAGTCACTACGAGCCTAAGTATTTGGAACTGAAACATAGTGACTGGCCAGCTACGTTAGATGAGAATTCAAAACAAAAACATTTTCAAAGCGGAAAACTTTGAGAAATGGAGAAATAATTGGTATTCGTCTGTTGCTTTACCATTTTGTCAAGCCTCAGAGTCTTCTGTAGGAGTTATCATTTGTTGAAAGAAATTTCCTTGGTACCGAAAAACTAAACCAAACCCCATCCATAAAAGGTCGTAGCACAATCAGATAATGTTAGAAACGCTAAGAATTTCCGCTACACTCACTTGCAAACTAAGTGGATTTTTCTAGTGACTCACCTGGAACCCAGCTGAATCTCTCGTTTGTATCGCGATATCTCGAATATCGTAGCGACTGAAACATGAGACGGCCCCGTGCAGCACATTAATTTGCCTGGAAACATCACAAACGAGAGATTCAGCTGGGTTCCAGGTGAGTCACTCTAAAAACCAACTTAGTTTGCAAATGAGTGTATTTCGCTAATTTCGTGCAATTTGGTTTCAAGTAGGACAGAAGCTTGACGGAAACTGTGCTCACCTGATGATCCCCAAGAATGCAGAAACCGGTCGTGGGCTGTCGACCAATTTTCAGCAACCTTATGAGTAGTGCATTAAAAACTTCGGCTACCTTCAAGACAAATGTCGCACGCACTGACACAACGTGGCGCTTCTTCCTGAGTTAATATTCACAAAATCGGGAACACCAGAGTATCTGTTGTCCAAGAACCCGAGGGAATATCAATATATGTGGCATTATAGTAGATAACGAAGTGAGTTCACAACCACCATCACCAGTCTGGATAGTGAGAAGTATTCTGAGACTGCACTTGCCGAATGACACCGCCTTTTCGTTCCAGAATGTACCTATTTCCTAATGGTTAATCATCTTGCTTCGTGGAACCATGTGTTTAACATTTTGGTTTATCTCCATATATCCTTTAAATTTACACCACCTCCCTCATGAAATCAGCTTAGGGGACTTTCTTTTCCTTCTCTTTCTTTGACGAGGGAGTCTTTCCCTGAGAAGGGACGCAAAAATTAACTCTCATGTTAAAGCTTTCAACGATTTGGGAAGAAATCTCTTGTAACTAGGTAGTTTCAACAAAGTTTCCGCACCTCTACGAAAAAACTGGAATTTTACTTTACATCTTCTTTGTCGCTAAATCCGAAACTTGTTGCCACTTGTATTAGCGTCCTAAAAATCCGATAATATTCTTCATATTTGGACTTGAAACTTTTACTATGACATGTCTGATAAACTACTCAAAAGGCTACTGAAAATTCTGACAGCCCATGACCGTTTAAATCCTTCTTGGTGCTCATCATATTGGCGCAGTTTCAGAGGTTCTTTCAACCTTGTGTTCTACTTTAATCTAAAAGAGGCGGAATTTGCCAAATACTCTTACTCACACGCTAATTTGGTTTTAATGAGAAGAAGGCCATCAAAACGCAAGGTTCAGCCGGATCCAGTTGAGACACAGACAGTGTAGTCATTCCGTAGAACGTGCAGCTTCTGCGTACAGATGATGTGAGGCGGCTTCAGGTCACCACTGCCTCAGAATTGTCACTGGTGTCGGATGGTGTCGATAGATTCGTAGCGAGGTAATTAGGTAACCCGTATTTGGTTGTGCAGCAGGTAATCCAGTGGTAGGAGATACCCAGTACGACCAGCAGTGGTGATTTGGTCGTGTGCCACGCACGCCAGAACACCATATACCTAGACTAGTGTTGTTCTCCCACTTCCTTTAGAATGGAGCAGAGCGCGAGATGAACAACATATGACTTGACAGGAGAGTATGAAAATAAAAACGGAGAGTTACGGTTATGTCGTTCGTATCCCAGGCTGGGGCTTCCTTGACCTAACTGCACCTGGCTGCAGACACAGCTAGGAATGTCAGCTGATCGATAACATTGTCGTTCGCATTGCCAGTTTCTCTTCAGACTGTCTCGTATCAAGACAACCGTCTGGTCGGAACACCCTTTCATCTCCCATCTTCATAGGGCACAGATTTCAACCCTTACCGCCAACTCTTGTTGTCCAGGAGCTTCCTTGCAGATTCAAGCAAGGGTTCCATAGATCGAGTCGCATTAATGAATACGATAGAAATACAATAGTTATCTGAATATAATTGTCCAACCTTCACGATTTTAATCGATTTTTTTCACTCCAAAATTTCTAACACAGCTGTTGCCAGCAGTTTACTTATCGCAGATGGTGAGCTATTCACAGCTTCGAGATATCCTGTTTCTAATATTCTTCAAAATACGACAAGACTTCCGTGACCTCGCCCAGGAGTTCTTGACGAGATTTCTGTTGGTTACTCAATAATATGACAGTGCTTTATTGTTGCAACTTCTATCAACGTAAGTTTGGGCGAGATGGCTCAGTGGGTAGAGCGCGAATTTTCTGACCAGACTTTTGCCTCTGGACTTCCCCTGTCTAGGCTTGGGCAACCTGACAGCATCCCGGCCCTTCCTTCCGGTGGCATGATAGTTAGGCAGTGAAAGTGCGTTACAGCTGAGCAACCTAAGTGGAACCTTACGACGCCCATTAACCAGTATTATCTTACAACCGTTCGGACACTTAAGTGCATGCATCATCTTCCAGATGGGATGCTGGCTGTAGCAGTCACTTCCTTGTTCTTTCAACCAACTTCGCCTAATTTGTCTAGTACATCTGTGCTCACCAGATCACGCGACTCCTTTGTTCCGAATCACGTGACAAAACCCTCTTCCGCTTGGAACCCGGACCGACAACAAGTCAGTTCCTGTCTTGTTCGTGTCGGAACGGTCCTAGGTGTTATGCACCCGTCGAACTTCCTATATACAGGAAGACAACACAGTCACCGCATATACTCGCGCGCGTGCAGTGAGCAGGGAGTCAGCAAAACTCTTCGTTTCAAGGACGATTACGAAACACGTGTAGCAGCTATACTGTGGAGAAAACACGTTCCCATCGTTCGAACTTTTACCAAGGAACTCTCACAAACGACAAGTTCCCTTTTTGTCTTGCTCCACCTTTCGCATTGCATTAATTTTGTACATGGTGTAACTCACCTCTGTGAACTACTATCGACCATAGTAAAAACTGCTATTAATGCATTTACCTTCCGAGCTATCTTATGGCTATCATAACCCGTGTACAAATATCTCCACCTTCAACCGTCTTTTTGAAAGAACAGCAAACTATGCTGGGTGCATTGTGAGTCTTCAAAATAGATCTTGCCAGGAGACTACACTTGAAATGCCGTGAAAGGCCACCTGCTCGCGATTCCAGACGCGTTTGTCTACTTTGAAACTGCTATAGGCTCCTGTTACAGTGCTCGTGTGAGGTCACCCACAGCATAGAAAAGGCCGTCACGTGTTTCAGCACTCTTGTTTTGCCTGTTCGTCAAATTCGACGCCTAGAAAATGTTAGGCTGCCTATCAGTGACAAAGTTTTGTTGCTTTTGTACGATCGGTTCACCGGTGATATTCAAGGCAGGTAGATGAAAATTCTCGAATTCTCACCATGGCTACCTCCATCAGCTCAATTCCACCAAGCGTTCGGCTGAACACCGCAAATTCGTATAACGGTCACTTGTCAAATGTTGACAATTACAGTGAACTCAGGCTGGGTCATGCCTTCCGAACGTCAAGAAAAAAACTTTTGTGCCATCCTTTTTTGCCTGAAAAGCCTTAATCAAACTGATATTAACTATCAGTGATCAGGTGATGGCAAGGCCCGAGCTACAAACACGTTAATTGGACAACTTATTAAGGTTAACAAAATTTATCCATCCAGTTGAATAGAGGATGTAGCTCTGATCAGTCAGTGGAGACACTGTTTTGGTACAAACTACTTCAGTTGTGAATGACCTTGCATCCCTAAACTGATCAAACTACTCTAGGTAGAACCATTCTCCAGTTTCAGTATCTGTACCCATCGCCCTTGCTTCTAATTCGCTTTTTGGCATCCAGATGTTGCCTTCTCAAGGTCAGCAGGAGGTAGGTACTCAAAGAGCGGAGCAATAGCAAGATAATGGTGATTAGAAACAGGCTGAATTTCTTTGACCTCATCCTATGTGAAGGTGTAATATTCATTCGGTGCAAGTGTCGATCATAGTTTGAACTGTGGGCACATCGAATTTATTGATCTGATGAAGACCCGTTCGCACCTGGCTGCTTCCTGGGAAAAAGCCAAAGACCTACGTTATCATATGTCACGAATGAAACTTTTCGTTATCCGAGAGTCTTCTAACATAGAAGATACACGAATATCTGTCACAAATGGGATAAACCATGGTGTACATTGGATATGTCTTCAATGTCCTTTCGAGATAGCTTTCCGTTAGAGTTTTAGTGCGGAAAGTATTGTCTTTGTCCAAGTGACTACTAACTTAAGTCAGCTTCGGCTTAAAATCAGTTTATCCTAAATTGTGGAAAAAATCAGAACCGGGCCAATACTTACAAGAAACTAAACGGAGACCAGCTCTGCGGTGAATTCTGTTGTGGTGGCTTGGAATACGTTGGTTTCAAGTACAAACTGAAATCTTGTAGCTAATCATTGGCCACCAATCAGGAACATGAATGTAGTCGATTCTGTTGACTCGATTATCCGATATTCTTGGCTTGTTTTTGTGATTTATAATAGCATATCTAGTGTCATATCTTACTGTGTAGGTACTGGATGCCTTCGGCACCAAATCGTCGTAATATTAGCCGTACAAAAGCATTTACCGCCTTTCCAATGAGACATCCACAAACACACTGTTCTTTATCCGGTGCCACATTGCCTAGACCACATCTAAAAGTAGTTTAATCTGTCGACACCTTTTTGATAAACATAAAAATGTAGAAAACAGAAGCCAAGAAGTAGTGGTGGAGGTTTAAAGGCGCACTGTTTTGCCGTGATTTTCTGTAGTCCTGGAAAAGTCGTTTGTTTGTTTCCAGTCTTGAAATTGTCCTTTAAAGGGGCGAAAAAAGCTCTCAGCTCCGTTATACAAATTCAGATATGGAATTTTTTGCTTTGGCCACGGATTTTTTCAATTTCCGCTCTGTAGCAAATCTAGGTGTAGCATCTATCTTTACCAGGGATGGCTATTATAAGATAAGTTGACCAAAATGATCAGTGTACAGACGCAACACACCACTCATCATAAACGAGGGATTCAGTCGGGTCCCAGGTGAGTCTCCTGGAAAAACCAAACTGATTTGAAAATGAGTGTATTTCGCCAAAATGATCAATCTTACTGTGTGTTTATTAGTTTTCCAGTCACAAATATGGTCTGAGAAGCTTTAGCACTGCATATCCGGTTGAACGACATCATATACGAGCATCCCGTCACAATCTTGCTAGATCTCTTTTTTTCGCATTAACTGCAAATGAAGACGAGCTACGGGGAAGACCGCTATCGCAACTGATCCCTTGGGGTTTCCAGTAAATTTTGAGAAACGCCGCATCTGCCGAGGACAGTGATAAGTTTGCCCAACAACTTTTATTAAAATGCTCCGCTTGTCTGACGCGCATCCGAGACTTCCATTGTTGTTTCTGAAGGTCTCGCGGTTGTAGACTCAAAGAAAATTCCTGAAAAGTCTGATTGAAACTGTAGTTTTGCATACCTTCGGGGCGTGATTTGCACGAAATGCGATGGTCGCCAGATGTAGCGGCTCGTTTTTAAATCATCCGAGAATACTGACTGCCTCGTTTCAATTTATAGTCCTGAAAGCAATCAAATCGCTTATTGCTGGGTACAATTTGACGAGCTTGGAGTAGGTTTTGTCTGAAGGCTTCGGGACACGAGTTACATAATGACGTCGAAGCTGTGGATCTGGCCACCACTAAGTTACGATCCAAACAAAGTCTTGTATGTCCGATCAGATACCGCCAAAGCCAGCTCTAAAACTTAGGCTGTGGCCATTCTTCGGTAGTCAACCTAGCCTGGCGCTTGAGTCTTCATCTACCACCACTGTCGGAGCATGACACCTGCTGAAGGAACTCGCGTATCTATCAGTAGAAGCAGTACTTACTTTCGCCTGCGATGCACTCTGAGAGAATGAGGGGGCATACGCAGCGATGGCAAACGTAACACGTTTGCCCCCTTATGGTTTGCTTACATGAATCGTGTAGTTTAGCCCTAACACAAAGTAAGTCGCCTGCCATAAGCTACTTCCATTTTTTAGAACGCAAAATGCGCAAACGCTGTAGCTTTTAAGGCTTATTCATCTTTCATATGTGTGATGTTTCATCCCAAGAAAAACCTCTTAGTGGAATCCCACTCGCAACTGATGAAATGAAATCTGCATTGGGTAGAATGTGATCTTGTGCTAGCCGGGTGCCAACTGCACCAGAGCAACCTTCCCACATGTGAACAGTAAAAATGTTCATCGTCCTAATCAGTGAGCCCCAACAATAGTCTGACAAATATAAATTTGACGCTTTCAATTCGACTTCATATGATCGACAGCTATTTGACCGAAACAGCCCATGAGCGCAGAGATTTTAGACGAATTTGTCGTGTCCCATTAAGGTTAAAAGATTTTGTACGGTTGGGGTTCCCGAAATCCTTCAAAAAGAGGATAGAGTGAGCCAAACGTTGTAACGTTTGGCAAATATTCTGCGAGGCTTATTTTCGCCTTTCTAGATGATTCTTCCGTGGAAATCGTAAGTTGAGGGCACAAAAAGGTCAGTCAGGCGGAACCGGTGACACCAACGAAAGCACTACGAGGCAGAGAACAGCTGGAGAATTATACAACCTGTAACTGCTTAGTCTTTCAGGTAATGCACATTAAGACACCTAGGTATGCCGCCAGAATTATAATCACATTTTGGAAAGAAATGATTTCTCCTGATGAAGCAGTGCGAAATAAGATCAAATTTGCTTGCAAATGAGTGTATTTTGCTAATTTCGTGCAATTTGGTTTCGAGAGCTGCGACATTCTCGAATCAACCTTTAATTGTGGGATGCAGAACTTCAGACAGTGATGTTGAACCGAATAAAGAACTTTGAGTTGTTCCAGATGAACCCACGAGCAAGTTGTCCCAATTATATTGCTGAATCTCTCGCTTATGATGTTTCTAAGCAATTTTTTGCAATTTGGCTTCAAGTAGAGCATAAGGTTGGTCAAAACTCGGGGACTGCGCCTACCTGATGAACCCCAAGAAGGGCAAAACCAGTCGTGGGTTGTCGAAGAATTTTCAGCAACCTTATGAGTAGTGGATTATTACTGTGCCCGTGCACTCCGAGCTTCAACTCCTGTCTTCCACATACTTTGCATCTGCACAGACGCGTGCTAGAATGCCATTAAAACACACATTAGTAAGTCTTTATGAACTAGTGAAAGCCAATACTCGGGGTAAACTATGTCTTTCCACCGCGCTACCGAAACACGAAGTCGCGTGCATACAGTTTACACTTCTGTGGGCGAGGTCAGGCGAAATTTTTCCACCGGTTTTAGCCGCCGAAAGGAGAGCAAAATTTGTCCACAAATTTATTTGTTATGCCCTTCGGTTTTATCAGGAAAAG